CAAAGAAACAATGTGATTTCTAGTCTTGATGGCCTAGGTGTTGTGAGGAGCTCATAGGAATCTAGGCATGGAGGCCGTAGCATTTTTAGATGTTAAATTAAAAACAGTAGCTCTTTTGGCCATTAGAGACCCCATGATGTGCAGAATGATTTTGTCCTGACACAATCCTGGGAAGTTTAACTGCATCCATTAGTGATTTACCTCAGTGTCCAGTTGACATTTAGAAGTTAATATGGCTGTGGCGTGTTTTTGCTTCGTTTTCTGCCTTGTCTCACTTCAGGAGGTAACCATCTCCATAGCAGGGAAAGCTAACAGATTGGACTTCCACTCCTGAGCAGTTCTTTGGTCTCATATTCATGTACATTATTGCCATTTTCAGTTTACATGAATAAACAAAGTTGCAAATAATTCAAGAGCATACACAAATATGTATGCTAAATAATCTGGTATGGGGACAGTAACTTCCACGGGAGGGTGGGAACCAGCAGCTCTGTGTAAGTAAATAAGCTGTAACTGTAGGGCCAGCATTATCTGAAGTGCTGCAGCTCCGTTCTGCAGATGTGAACTGGAACCCTCAGTTAGCTGCTACTGTCATTCCCTGGAGTTGCTGAAATTCCATGTAGGTATGTTTATGGGCTGAGATTTTCAGAGATAACAGAAAAAGGTGGATGCACAGCTGTTGTTGACTGACCACCCTAAGGCATGTCTGACAGTCCTAGGCCATAATATAGGATGTGCTTTAGAATAAAAGGTGCAGTGTAAACGTCAGGGGGTGACAACATGATCCCATTACTTCACTGCAACAGGGCTTCCAGGAACCGGATTGTTAGGTTAGTGTTATTGTTAGTTCAATGTTAGTGAATGGCAATGACTGCTTAATTCAAACAGTATTACTATAATTTTGCCCACTGCCAAATAGTTTAATGTTGATTAATTAGATGTTAACTAGCTGTGAAATTCTACAGCATGGTCTTTTGATGGCAGACTTGCCAAATTGTGGATGCACCTAGAGTGGCTTCTTAGGGCTAGTGAAGCTTTTCTCATGAAGTGGAACTAGCACCTTTCTGCTTTGCCTCATACTGACTGCACTTATTTTTTAATTTGCCATCAAGATTTTAGGGGAACGCAACTTTAACTTTACTAGTGAGACCGTGAAAATGTTTGTCTGGATCTGCAGTGAGGGCCTCCGTTATGTCTATGTAGCAGTGGTCCGACCAAGCTTCTGTAGCCTTGACCCTTTGTTCTTTTGACTCAGTGGGACAATTTCTTTGGAAAAGCGAATTGGTTCCATACATTGTGTTTATCAAACCCAATAGAAATAGCTGAACAATATTGTGAAGGGCTCCTAGTTTAGTTCTTCTTTGGAGAAGGGAAGGAATTAATCTTTATTCAGACAGCTGGAGTATGGGTCAAATAAACAATACAGTTAATTGCATTGACATGTAAATGAGTATTACAGTAACTCAGTAAAAACCTAAACCAGAATAGAGTAGCATGGCTATTCTCTAACACATGTACATTTGTGGTGCAAAGTAGCTGTATGTAGTGGGGAAAATTGGATAGCAAGCCCTTCAGCATGACTGTAATAATTCACCTGGCAACCTGAATTATGAATAAGTCTGTAATGCCTATGCCTTGTTCCTATTAATACCTGTGCTACCAGGTTAAATCTAGCGTTGATTTGCGCACATAGGCTACTGCAGTGTAGACAAACCATCGGAGCATAACACTGCATTACAGTCGTTCAGGTGGTCATGACAATGTAAAAGCTTCCAATCTTCCTCTGGCTGTTGTTTCCAAGACTTGTGCAAAAGTTATCACTATCTCAGTGGTGCAAATGTGAATGATGTAAAATGATTTTTAAAAAAGTTTTAAACCCAGCTTGTTTTACTGACATATTCTAACACGTGTATCCAAATCTGTTTTCAGCTTAGTGAGGAGACAGAAAACTATGGGTGCAAAAAGAGATAATTTGTTAAGAGAAGTCAGAAACATATTCAGCTGGATAAACTGTTTTGTGAAGCTATCTTCTGAGGAGAAGCAAATACAAGAACAAAATAATTTCCAGCTTTGTATGACTACCTCCTCATAAATCAGAGGGTGCTCTTGAATATATAATATGCAGGAGACGACAAATTTAGGAGAGCACAAAGGGATGAGTGCACAGCTGCTCTGTGGTATTCAACTGGTATGAATGTTTTACACATGTAGGGCCAAGCGTATTCACAAGGGTTGTAGGTCTGTAACTACTTTAGAGGGAGGGATTCTACTTAAATGGGGGAGTCATAGAGAAGGCGGCAAGCCATTCTGACAAATGGACTTTCTTTCATCCATAATCTGTGGTAAAGATGGTACAACTGTTAAGGATTTTTGTAGAAACTGTGGGAAACAACACAGTCATTTTGAAGAGTGATTTATGGTCACATTTAAAAACTGTGCTGCAGTCCATCAAGAGCAGAATGAATACTCTATGTCCATCCCCAATGCTGACAGTGTTCATGTGAACATTGGAGCAATTCTGTCATCTTGCCTGGACTGAATCTTTGTCCCACTAGAATTACCTAAATGCTACAACTGCTAGTCTAGGAGATACCCCAGGAGATGCATTGCCCACTGTACTTCATGAAAAACCTATCCTAAATCTGTTTTTCACTTGCTTATGAGTTTGTACTTTAAGAAAAAAAAAGAAATCATGGTAATTGGATTATATTGATTTGTTTGCTTGGATCTTCTGTGGCATCTTTTATCTAATGCAAATGGTAGTTTTTCTTTAGGTGGAAATATGTGTGCACAATGGCACAGTGGCAGTAATGCCCCAGTGCTTGTACTAAGTGGAAAATGGAAATGGAATTTCTGAAATAAATAGGGAGACGGTTTATTTTATTTCTTTTACCACCACCTCCTTAACACACCTGAAGGGGCAAGTTAACAGCCATGGGAATTGGATTGAATGGAAATACTGCGCATTATTACGTCTGCTTTTCCTGATAGTGCTTTTGGCTTCACTACTGGCAAAATGATGAATTCTTCCCTGACAATAAATCTGTGTTAGCTGCTGGTGAGTGTTGTGGTACAGAGATGGCCCAACATTCTAGGGGCAAAACTTTTAACATGAAGAATGACAAGTGCGGCTTCTAGCATGTTACTAGTTACTGCTGTAGTTACTCAAAGCCAGCATTCAGTAGAAGAAGCACTCATGCCTTCTGCTTTCCCCATTGCTGCCCATCCTTCCAACACATGTTCTTTGTCTGAACACACACAAGTGCCTCTGAATCAGGTCAGGGAACTGATCCCACTGAGAACTAGCTGAGCAATTCCTCAGTGAGTCTTGTAATATAGCTACAGAAACATTTGTGTCAGTACAGGAGGAATGAGGAGGCAAAAACTGCTCTGAGACAGTGAGACTGCTCTGAGGACCAGCCTGGTGTTAAGAAACTACAACTTTGAGGTGCAGTTTCCCAAGAGGCTCAAGCCAACCTGAGTATATGTTGCTATCAAAATAGGCAGTCTCTGTGCCCTCAACTTTTTTGTGTGTTTTCATCTCTTCCAGCTCTTGCAGCTTTGTGGGAATCCAAGTGAGCTTTCTTGTCTAACTGAAAACTAACCTACCAAAACCACAATAAGATTTATTTTGGCTGGGATCAGCTCTCTCATCTGGCTAACCACAGAGTCTTGCAACTGCTAATGGTGGCACAAAGGCAGCAGCATGCTTGTGTGGCTAAAGATAAGGAAAAGGCTGTACTAGCACTTTCTAGATTGACTTAAACCTCTTGTGAAATTGCTACTTAAGGCAAATAAGCTAACAGTATTATCTCATGGCAGAGAAGAAACGGGTATTTTGTATGGCAAAGAAAAGGGGGATTCATTATCGAAGCGGTCCAATTCCAAGGCTTGTCCTAAGCACTGTTCTAGATCTCAGATAAAAAACCTTCAACTGACTTTGGATAAGAAAACCATGCTAGAACGGCATCTAATGCAGTCCTTTTCATGCTGTATCCACTGTAGTAGAAAGACACTTCCTTCAGTTTCCTGTTTCCCTCACTTCATCAGAAAGAATAGAATAGTCTGAAGTAGCCTATGGGAACTGATCGTTGCTTTTCTGCTGATGTAAGCTAGCACCTGGGCTTGTAGAGTATAGAGAAGCTCTACGTTGTTAGTTTTGAAAGGGAGGAAGCCAAGCTGGGCATTCCCACACACCCTTTGTGTTTTCAGACCTTAGGGGAACTGCCTCGTCTTTTCATAAGTGTGGTTTGAATGACCCCTGGTGGAAGCTTCAGACAATCAGGATTTTTAGGAGTTGGGTCCCAACACGAGGCTCCAGTTGGCTAACCATAGGCACCCACATTTGAAAACTGTGGCTGCTAATGGAGATAGTTTGTATTCAGGCGTAACTGGGCTGGATGCATCAGCAACCTACATTCCTTACGTTGCATCCTGTCTCCTTGCATTCTTCATATAGTCCCTGAGCTTCATGAGCATGTGTACTCACCCATTCCTTCTCTCTGCTCTATCTCCTTCCCCTTACCTGCATATCCAGAGTGGAAATGCTTTATCAAAGTCACTGTACCCTTATTTTTCCTCCTTAGTGGGGCAGCCCAGTCTAGCCTGTCTGTTGCATTGCTCTGTCTCTACAGTGCCTTCCTGTCTGCTCTCCACATGCTTTGTGAGTACTTCTGTGCTGTCCTGGCACTGTTCAGTTGTGGTAGATATCAGCTAAGGCAAGGGGCTGTGTCATATGTTTTTAATGTTAAGAGGATATTCCACCAGATTTCTCCAATGTGTATGCAAATCCCCACAACCATTTTCTGAAGCATGAACTGGGTTTTAGTGCATACTCTTCAGATTTGCCCTGCTTGCTTGATGCACTTTGATCTGCTTAAGGAGCTTTGGACACTCCAATACCTTACAATCTTAGCTACACAAGACCCCTTCAGGTAATGGTGAAAAAACACCACAACCATCTATTGATAACCATTTGTTTTTCTTGCTTTTTTTGGCAGGCTGATTTGAACACCAATATTGAAGATGAATCCAGATCTTTCTATGGTGTTTCCAGCCAATATGAGAGCCCAGAAAACATGGTCATTACCTGTTCCACCAAAGTGTGTTCCTTTGGAAAGCAGGTGGTGGAGAAAGTGGAGGTAGGGAGCAGACACCTTGGTGCAAGGTTCTCTCTTGCTGCTGTTTTGTCACTTCAAGTATTTGCATCCTGCATATATCTCATGGCAAAATAAACCCCATGCTTGTTGTCATGGAGATGGATGCCATAGATTATTATTTCTGAGACATGCAGGTGTAAGATTGCTCCAGCCTGCAACACGGAGCAACAAGTCTCAGGGCTTCATTGAAGGTTTGGTAGTGTTTTCTATTTTTTCCTTAAATCTCAGTTTCTGAAGACATGTGAATATGTAAGACTTTTAGCTCTGGTGATTCTCTGGGGTTTTCTGGGGAGCAAAGAAAAGCTAGGAAACCTGGACACTTGTTTTGTAGTCTAGAAAGGTGAAAACAAATAGGCAACACCTCACTCTCATCAGTGTTTTTAAACAGATCATTTGTAGATGATAGCCATTAATTAGTAGAATGTAATAATTTACAGACTATAGTCTTATGATGTTATGAGGCTTATCTTAGTGCTTGTACAACAGTTTGAGCAACAGTGAAGCCGCATAATTGTGCATATATCTGGCACTGAAGAAATTCTTTACAATGTCACATTTGGCTGTTAAGAGAGCTGCTCTGACCTGCTTCCTGCTGTTCTCTTTATCAATGAGCTTTCAGATGCAGGAGGAGTGGCTGTGTGCAAAACACCAGGTGTTCTTGTGTCAGCAGTCATTTAAAGCTACATCCTTCTGCAAGTCCCATTTCCAGTCATATGATAGACATGCTTGAAGTCTGGTTATGTATTTGCATGATGGGATAGATAGACCAAAGAGAAGTGTCATGGTGGACAGGAAAGGAGACCAAGCTCTTGTGGTGAAAGGAGGTAACAGGCATTTAAGGGTCTGCTGTGAAATGACAGAATCCAGCCTCAACTTCTTTTCAAAGGAAGGTGAAATATACAGGAGCTAAGATGTGAACGTGAGCAAAAAAATCCCTCTGTGTAACATTGGACAGACCCTCTCCTAAGGGGGAGCAGAGATACTATGTTCTCTTTCACAGGTACCAGAAAGCTTTAGTCCTTTCCAGCTGTGAAGCATCCTAGGCATATGATTACCATCATTACTAGGAGCTTCCTGGTCTTGCTAAAGCAGTAATTTTTAATTTTTTCAGTTTATCCACACCTAGTATTTTTCCAGTAGAGATGCAGACCATAGTATAGCTGACAATTGGTCTGCTCCTCTTAGTTACCTTTCACAGCTCCTTGTCAGTTTGCTGCTTCTAAGCTGGAACTCGCTGTTCTAAAGAAAAAAGTCAGGCTGAAGAAATTAGAGGGCTCAAGGAGACTGACCTTGGTGCAGAAAGTTGTAGAGGAATGATTAATCAACTCATTACTGTTAGTAAGATGACTTGAAAATGACATTGTGATTTTTCTGTTCTGAGTCCCTTTCTGTGATTAATGCTAGTAATGTGACAACATTAGCCCATATGCTCCTTTTGTGTTTTACATTGCAGACAGAGTATGCACGCTATGAAAATGGACACTATTCCTATCGCATTCACCGTTCCCCTCTCTGTGAATACATGATAAACTTCATTCATAAACTCAAGCACCTTCCTGAGAAGTATATGATGAATAGTGTGCTGGAGAACTTTACTATTTTACAGGTGGGACTTTCAACTGTTTTCATTGGAGCTTGGAAACATGTAAGCCCCATGCAGGAGTTCACTTTTGTGAGTCAAAACAGATTTCCTTTTACAGCTCAACATCTAATTGAACTTAGTATGTCTCATGTGTACTGCACCTCAAGACCATTTATGGAGCTCTAGAGATAGTAACTCATGCAGAGAAGCAGCAGAAGAATTTGACAAGACCTGAGTAAGAGAGAGGAAAAAAGAAAGATAAAGGGAGAGCTCATAAGGCAGAGAGGTAAAGGAAAGAGAAAGATGCAAAAGTCAGTGAAAGAAATGCTCATTCCACTACTGGATGAACGTTGAGGTCCTTTCTGTGCCCAGGCCCTTTTTGCAAGGTAGAAAAAAAAAAAAAAAGAGTATTGTTAAGTGGCTATATAATTTTGTCATGGGAAGAGTTCTTTGCTAACTAGGTAGGAGAAAAAAAAAAAAAAAGTTGTTTCCTCAGGACCATCCTGAACCTGGAAAGAATATGGAGGCACGTAAAGAAAGGGGCATGCTGAGGGAAGGCTCTTCATGAATCACTGCAACTTCTAGGTAGGACAGTACAACAAGGCTACAGCAACTAGATTTGCATTAGTGTCTATGTTATACCTGGAGCCTTTCCAGGCTCGGATGCAGCCTAAATTTGGGAAGAGGGCAAAGACAGCTTAAAAGGTGGATTTTCCTAATGGACTGAGTTCTGTGCTCGCCTTTACAAGACATGTCACAGATCTTCACCCAGAGAACTTGAGGCTGGGTAAGTAGAAGAGATGCTAGAGGCTGTATGAAAGAATGGAAATCGAGTGGTCTTCATTCCATCCTCTGGAGATCTTGGGATCTGGGACTTCAGGCAACTCATTTCACTGCTCTGTGGCTCAGGTACCTCAGCTATAAAACACAAGCTTAATAATATACCTCACAGGGCTTTAGGAGGCTTTATTCTTCCATGTTTGTACTAAGATCTTTAGCATCTGGAAGAAAAGAGGAGTATAAATGCTAAGAGATTTTTAGATGAGGAAAAGCATGAAGGGGGCAGGTATGGAGAGTTGGAAGGCCTGTGTGCTGTAATCCATACTGAGGAACACTTGTAAGTGCTTTCTGTGTGTTTCATTCCTCAGTCAGGCCAGCGCTTGCTATAAATTTTAGGAACAAAAACATTTTCTCTGGAGCTTTGTTTTGAGTAAGCTGATGTCCTTCCCTTCCTCCTGTCACAAAGAGGCGTGTCTCATGTGGGTGCTGGCACAGCCTTTTATATACTGCCTTGCAGTCCTGTTCCCTGAGCTGAGCATTTTCCACTCCCAACTCCCCACTGGGGAGCTGAAAAATGGTCATGTTTAATGTAAGGCATGCTGCTAGTCCTCAGCTCCCACTGCCAATTTCTGGAGCAAGTCTAATTATACTTTTTCTCGACCCTTTCATGAGTTTAGATACCGCTAATCACTCAAGCATAATTTATCTTGCTTTGCACATTGGTCTGGATCTAGCCCTCCAAGATTTTCAGAGCTCATTCTTCAGAACATGCCTTATTATGCCTGAATATGTGTAACTCACAATGGCCTGCAGAAGAAAGGAGAGGTTAGTTCAGCTGCAAACTCAATCATGAAGTAAGAAAATAAAATAGAATAGACCAAGCTGCTAAAATTAATATGCAAGTTTGAAAGCAGTTATTTTCTTTCTATTTTCACAAGAATGGTTGGGCTTTGGTACAGTTCAAACCTCCAACTGGTATGTTTTTCTTTTGCAGCTGAGTTCATGCTACTGCTGATAAAAATGTTATCTCCTCCAGTAGGAGAGAACTGCTTGAAGCTTTAGCTCTGGCACAAACTCAGATGACAAGAATGTGCAAAGTTGTGCAGTGACAGAGAGAGGGAAGCTGAGCTAGGAGCTCTGGGTACCACATTTTGCTTGTCCCTGCCATGTAGTGCAGGCAGTGCATGCTTCTGAAACTAGGACAATACTGTTCCATCACCATGCTGCTGACACCGAGTCACACTGCAAAGAAGCTAAGGTTCCTGAGGGACCATAGAAAAAGAAATGGGGAAAAAAGCAGCTTCTGTAAGAATGCATGAGTGTTGCAGCCATCTTTCTCCTGACATCTACAGCGTATGGAATGGGAGGTGTAATGCAGTCAAACCTGTAAGTCTCCTGTAAAATTAATTATACTCAATAATCCTCATGGTCTGTGTCTACCACTGACAAGCAGAAGCAGATAGAGGGAAAGAACTGTTCATGGCTGTGATACATCAACACATACATGAGCAGGAGGTGTCCTCTCTATACCGAAGAAAGGGAGCAAAAAGATTTTCTGTGAAACGCCTCTCTGCGGGTATCTGCAACAGCGGGGGTGGGGAGTAAAGAACTTAGTAGACCTCCTTCCACTTATATGGTCACTGCTTGGACACAACTTTCTTTTTTTCCACAGTGGACTCTGCTCACCTTCCTGTCTCTTCACTGCATTGTAGTCCTGATGCTGTGAAAGTGCTTTGCTTATGTGTGGGCACATAGACTGGGGGTTGTGGTGGCTGAGCTATGTATCATTCCTTTGCGTCTCTGTTCTTTACCTATTACTGACTTTTTGCTCTATGTTAAATGTGTTGGAATATGTAAGCAGAGAAACAGCAGTTGCCATCTCAGCCTCTTCTCCTTTTCTGTCTAGGTTGTGACAAACAGGGACACACAGGAGACTTTGCTGTGCATAGCATATGTTTTTGAGGTGTCAACTAGTGACCATGGTGCCCAGCATCACATCTACCGGCTGGTGAAGGACTAGAGACTCTCTGCCCTGAGTCGTCCATGGGATGCATGTCTAAGAAAAAAGCCCGTGCTTGAACAAACCCTACCCCCCTCATACCAAACTGAAAAATAAACTGCAGATGTTGTGTATTTTCAGAAAAGCACCTCTGAGCTGTTTTGTGATTGACAGGGTCAAATAAGTTTGTATCTCCAGGTTTGTGCAAATAGGGAAAAGACCTGGAGTCAAAGAAACAGGCAAGTAACTGCTTAAGGGTTTCACCAGAAAAAGCATCCTCTGGAACGTGTTTCTCACAGAGCGCACACACAGGGTGTGATCATACATATGAAAGGAGTGGTATGCACCCGAGCATACAGGCAGGACAATGGCAGCAGCTTCCACAAGTTTGACCACATACAAACAGGTTGAAATTGTTCATGCTACATCTGGTCTGTGTGCACTCATGTACATTCATCTGTAGGTCAACACATGGCACAGACATGCTTACTATACATTTATACAGATACCAGTTAGCCATGTGTGGGCACATGCATGTTGCACATATAACCTACAGATCTGCCTATCTAGCTGTCCACCTTAGCAGGTGTGCAGTCACAGCGTCCAGCCTTCCTCCTGTTGAAGGCTGGGTACTGTTTCCCTTTCTTCTGTGCACGACAGTGAGAGACCAACCTTTCTTTTGCTTTTTAAATGAAGTTATGCTTAGGAAACGGGGTATGTTAAATCATGTTGTCTTGCCCAGCAGATTTCCTCTATGTATCAGGTCTGCTCACTTGACCGACAAATAATTCTTGCTGCTTTTGCTTCTGTTCTCCATGCGCAGTTAGCAGTGCTCAGGGAGCTAGAGTCTGCTCTTTTCTTGCACACCAGGAAAATAATTGTTTACTGAGATCAAATTGTTCCACTTGTTAGTTGCAGACAGTGAGGTGCACAGGTATTGCAAAGAATGCCAGTTGGCCAGCAAATCACAGGAAAAGGATGAAAATGAATAGTGAAAAGAGGTTAGCTTTCCATGTTTCCAAGACAATCAAACACAGTCTCTGCTTTACTTGTAAGCTGAGGTGGTTTACGCAAGAACCACTGTGAGGCAATAATCTTGGTCCCCACAATGCTGCTGATGTGGGGGAAGATGCAGCCGTTCATGTTACTCTGAGAAAGGAGGTGGGTTGCATGATGCTTTCTGGCAGCCACCGAACAGGCAATTTATCGGGTGTCCAGGCACAGTCCTGTGGCACAGATTTGAATATATGGTGTTACATTTCCTTTTTCCAACAATGCATCACAGCACCATAGGAAACATATCTCAAATTTATTTCAGACATTTCCATCCTTGCATTTTTGGCATAGAGAAAAGCACTTGTGGACATCTGGGATAGCTTTAGAAATCAAGGGTTTATTAGAATGCCATAAGCTAAGGGCTTCAGCCGCATACAGATGAAATATGACTTCTTTCAAAAATTCATGATACTGTTGGTACTCCCTTCTACAGCTTTCAGTCTGCTGCTTAAAGGGGTCTGTGGCTCCATGAAGATACTGTACAACTCTTCTCACAGCATGGGTAGAGGCCCACAGACTCGCAGATCTCCTCCAACTCCCTAACCATCTTCCTGTCCTTTGAAATGTTTCATTTCTGTATTTGAAGTTGTAAGTTGTACTTATTTACGAGGTACTCCAGAAGTCTTCTCACAGATCGATGATTTTATTTCTTGCATTTCTAAATCTCAACTCCCTTCAAAGTTTAAATCTTCCACTCCTAGAGAATGTTCTTCCCATGTTTTATGGACTCAAATTAATCCTTCGAGTACTTGAAGGTCTCAGTCTTCTTTTTCTGGGCTTTTTCACAAGTATTGTTGAATATTTCCTAGCCTCTCATTGAAATTCATGAAAAATTAAGCCACCTTCCAGTGTACCATCAGCATCACTTCTACTTGGTATATTAGATTGGGGGTAGGGGGAGGAAAGGAGGGAGAATTCCCTTACTGTAACTGTAATTATTAAAAAAATAATCTGGTATTGTACTCAATTATCTCCTCCAACCTCTTCATTATGCTCAGAGAAAGCACTGGCGTCTTTCACGTCAACTCTCGGCTCTTTCATTTCCCAGGTGTTCTCAGGCTCCTTAGCTTTTCCCCACAAGACACTTTGGGCAATCTGCTGCTTTAGATGCTTGTTTCAACAATTTAGTTTTTCACTAGCTCTTCTTCTTGATTGTGCTCATGAGCTTCCTTGTGTGTTTCACTAGCTGTGCTTTCTCTTACCCAGCTTTAAACAAGTTCTGGTAAACACTGAACTTAGCTGGATGATGGTAGCTTCAACCACTCCATGCAATACTTCTGAAGAGGAATCTGCTGCTGTCCTGGAATTATCATGGTTTTATTTTGAAGCTGGTATTGAGAGCAGCTTGTTCTTTACTAGCTCATCAGTGTAGAGAAACACACAGTGTTTTCCGCAATGACTTAAACCTTTAGTATTCCTCTGGCTTGTTGATGGCTGATAATATGGAGTTTCTTTCTCTGAACTGTTTTCCAAAGCCTGTGGAAAACTTATTCAAGCCTATAATGCTGCCTCTAGGTTTGTAATACTTAGTTTATGACCTTAGGATTCAATTAAATTTTTTCTGATTCTATTTTGCAGCTGGGTGAGTTGATTCCTCACAAGGAATTCATATTCAAGCAACAGTAAAGAATGAATTATTAAAATTTAACTTACAGATCAAGTGAGTTAGACAAGTTTATTACGGTAAAATTTTGATATGGGATCCCCTAAAAATTTTTGTCTGAAGTATGAGTCCACATTGGTGTGGCTGTCAGCAGTTAGATGAAAAGCAAATTAAAAGACCATTAACAAAGATTACAGATGACCTATTAATTGAGAGAAAGGTGTGTACTGAAAAAGATGAGTATAGACACATTCTTTTTTGACATCATCAGTGATCTGGTGGAAGGAGAAAGCAACAGCGTAAATTAATCTGCAGATAGCACTAAAGGAGATTTTTGCAAGCTGAGTATCTATAAAGATCTTGAGTGACTTGAACACCATTGAAACACTACGCTTGAACTGGGAGAATAAATACTAAGAATTATTTGAAATATAATTTAAAATGTTCTTAAAAGAACAAAATGAAGATGGCAAATAAAAGGTAAATTATCAGAAAGATAATCAGTGCCTGAGAGGTACATGGTCAGAACATGATCCAAAATTGGACAACATGATGGAACTAATTGCCAAAGAACAGATGCACAAATACAAAATGTCAGTGACAGAGATTAAAGTGAGAGTCAGATGAAAGTCTCACAGTGCTAGCCACTCAATGAAATGGAGACATACAGTGGAGGATGAAGATTTCACTACCTGTGGAAGAGGTGATGCCAGGCTCTACAAAGGGTGTTTTATTTGGCCCAGTATATGACTGGTCCTGAGAATTTCCATCAAACAAAAGACCGGAATGTAGGCTACTTGCAAAGCCCTACTAAATGTGCAATTTTAGAATAGAATAGAGTAGTTCCAGTCGGAAGGGACCTGCAACGATCATCTAGTTCAACTGCCTGACCACTTCAGCTTGCCAAAAGTTAAACATGTTATTAAGGGCATTGTCCAAATGC